TTTAGCTACAGGAAGGAAAGCTTGTGAGAGAAAAAAAAAAAGGCTAGATAGTAATCTAGTCTAACTGGGCTGAACATTTGAGCTGCTGGGATAAAATGAATTAGCATGGAAATCATTAACATGTTCTCTTCTTTTGTTTTTGCCTGAAGCATTCTTTCATTTATCTGGGAATTATTTGGTAGTACAAAGGTCATATTTAAAATGGAGAGTATTGCTAATATAGTAATCAACAATATAATTTAAGAACAGGCTTTCAAGGTTCTTTGTGTCCATATGCTTTTAAGGTGTATGAAGGTACAGTTTTAAGAAAAGGAAGTAAACTTTCTTTCATTTAAAGTAGTTGATGTATTGAATGTTCAATATAAAATAACCTAGGCGTGAAATATATTTCATTTAATCCTACCTGTACAAAAATGACACCATAGCTTATGCTGTCAATTCAACTATTTTATTACATAATTACATAGAAGTGAGCAGCTGTAACAACTTGTAATATATAATGTATTACATATAAATAATTATATTATGTATATAATTATAAATAGTGGATATTCCTCCTGGATTCCTCTCGGAGTCAGCGCAGGAGATGGGAAACAAAAGGACTCTAACTAAAATAACATCTCTGCTGAATAATGTCTCCAAACCCATGCACAAGGCTGTTGCTGATCTGGAGAGGTCCTTCAGTGTCAGTCTACTGCATCCTAAATGCACCAAGGAACGTTATCACAAATCCTTCCTTCCAGCAGCTGTGAGACTTAAAACATCACTGTTCCCAGAAACCTTTATAAGTCGTTACATTCATGCTGATTTTGCACAGTTTCTCTCTTAGTCCCTTAAATAACATGATGCTGTCATAAAGAAAATCTGTGGTGTTGCTGCAATTTCCCCTTTTCCACTACTATAAAAATGTCCTGAGCTGTACATTGATTATTTATTCTTCGGGTGAAAGTACAGTATTTATATTTGTACAGTATAGTATTTTACGTTATTTATTGTTAAACTCTGTCACTTACTCTGTTATTTTAATACACTTTTAAAGTCCATATTTGTGTTACAACTTTCGCTGTATTGCTTCTGCTGATGTAACACCAGAATTTCCCCATTGTGAGACAATAAAGGTATTTCCTATTCTATTCTGTTCTGCAAATCCAACCCAGGGCCAGACAATACCCACATAAAAAATTGCAGCTCCATCTCATAAACAACAGTTTTTGTTAACATATTAAGGACTAAAGTTATTAACAATAATTCTGTAGACAGATTGACAGACCAGTCTCCCTCTGTGGTTTGGAATCTGAGAGTGGACCACTTTGGTCCAGCAGTTTGAGAAGTTATGGATTCACATGTGAATTCAAGGCCACATTCATCCCCCTACACTAAATCCTACATTAATCATCAGTACAACAGAATACTTCAAAAGTCAAAAATAGTTTTGACCGTAAAACCTTTACAGCCATTTAAGTAGTTAAATGACTGTAAAAGTATATACATCATATACATAGCTCTGTGATATCCCGGATGACCAAAACATTTGCCTCCTCCGATGTTCCATTCAGTTTGATGAGGACCTTACAGTTTGTGATCCATGTTGACTGGATCACCTCCTGCTACCTCAGGAACCAGGCCTTCCTCGTGATGTCAGCGTTCTTCTTGGTTAGGTGCCCGTTAATGAACATGTCTGACTCCTATAGTAACCTGCCCTGTGTCAGCAGAGCAGTTTTTTGTTTCCGGTTACTGAACCTCATGATAATCGCTGTCTGTCGTTGGTCCCTCATCTCTGGAGCGGGTGGCACGCTTCATCACAATGTGTCACAGTCCAGCTTTATCCCCTTCAACATGAGGCCACCTGTTCCTCCGTGAACTTTATCTCATCGGGTGAGGGCTCACCAGCCGGACAGGGCCCTGACACTGCGCCGGCATAAGAGCGGAGCTTGACACGCAGTCTGGTGATGATCACATCATTCATTCTATTGCAATACTCCAAGTCACCCACTCGGCCTTCCAAAACTGCAATCCATTTGTACTTTTCAGCAGATTCAGAAGATGTAAAGCCTTCACTTCTTTAACTAGGTCCAGAATGGACTTTAGCTAGAGACGAATGAACGAGGTTTCTCCAGAAAGGAAATCCAACGCTTTCCTTATCTCCTCAAAATCCTCCAAGGCAGGATTCTTCTTAGTATCCATGTTTGCAACAGGAATTTAAACACTGCCATGCAACAGCCAAGACGCCGCCAACACCAAGACTCCACTTTTGCGCCTTTGGCACAACTTCCGGAGTAAACTTCCAGTGTAATGGACTAATCCGTTCGACTGGTGACTTGATGAGTTACCAAAGTTAAAAAATCAAGTACCACAGACTAACTTAGTAAGGATGGACAGATTCTGATTTAAATTTGATTTACTTAATTTATTGATAATACTGTTGTGTGTGTCACACCAACAGACCTTTGAAAGAAATTTGGTAACATAATGATATGACTGTACAACACAAATGCTATTGCGCTGTTTTTCTATTGTTCTGTTCACGCAGGGAATGAAGTTACCATTAATTTTCAAGGTGGTCAATTCATCATATGATCCTTTCTTTGAAAACTGGTTCGCAATGGAAAAAAAAAAACTGGTCCGCTTTTTGATGGATAAGTGCAGAGCCAGTCTATATACCATACTTAACTAATGAAACCACATCCACATTTAAAAAATCTTTTAGATACTCTTAGCATTGCTAAATAAAAAAATGTACATACACATTTTATATATATATATATATATATATATATATATTCACATCTTATAAAAAATAAATATCCATTAAATCAACCAATTTTATGAAAAAAAGTGATTTCTGTCTACTTCATGTAGTCACCCTTTGTACAATATACATATCTGGATGCGAAAACAACACAGAGGAAGAAGGCCAACTTTTGTTATACATCCCTCTCCCAATATTTTTGTTCTTACTTATGGATTTTTCACCAACTTAATTGCATTCTAGGTGTATGCTTGTTGGAGCACCTGTGGGAGTGGATCAGAGCGAGAATCAAAGAGCTTGCAGTGTAAATTAGGAATTAAATGAATGGAAGTAAAGTACGGATTGGACTGGAGCAAAGTAGAGCCACAAGCAGCGTTAATCCAGGGTTTGCAATTATGTGCAAACTGTTCAACATTTGTTGAAGACCCTAGCGGCAACACGTCCAATCTGTTGGCCCATATGCATAGATGCTGAGGGATATTGATTAACAGGAAAAGTCAAAGTGAGGAGTGAGAGATGGAAAACTTTTACACAAAAAAAAAAATGGTTAGAGTAAAAGGTTTAAAACTCAAGCATAGGATTGTTTCATAGCTGAATACATAGAGTCAAATATTCAGATAAAATACAAAACAACTTCAACAAATGATTGAAGTAGTAGAGCCACAGTACAGAGTGATGATAGATGATATTCCCTTCTCATGGAACTACAGCAATATGGTAATTCTCCAACTTTTCACAAGAGTGACAAGAAAGAGTTGTCAAAGAGATGTCAAGCACACTGCTCCTATATTTTAATGTGCCGCAAGAAATCTTAAAGATACTATATATATATATATATATATATATATATATATATATATATATATATATATATATATATATATATATATATATATATATAGATAGATAGATAGATAGATAGATAGATAGATAGATATATATATATGCAAACAACAATAATGCTTGGTATTCCTAATGCCAAATTGTTTCAAATGTTTCTCTTTTTAAAAGCAATATACCTTAAAAAGAATCTGAAAATGGTGAGTTACCCATTTATATGTTATGGACGATGAAAGTAGGGCTGCTTCTAAAAATGATTTGGTAAATCGATTAATGTGTTGATTATTTTTTCAATTAATCGATCAATAATTGTATTGCATTGACCTGCGATGGACTGGCGACCTGTCTGGGGTGTACCCCGCCTCTTGACTGTAGATAACTAGAATGAAATGAACCCCTAGCGACCCTGCTTGATGTATAGATGGATAATTGCATAGCCAAATGTTCCTTAAAGAAGATTTTTTATGAAATTAAACCAGGTACAACTAAAATTTTTTCAGCTACAGTGTGTAACTTTTAGCGACATCTAGTGGTCAGACTGCAGACTGCAGCAACATGAACATCTCCCCCCCCACCGCTTCTCCCCCCCAACAGTACGGCGAGCGTTACGGGACAAAATGTCTTCCACGACGTCCGCATCACCTACCTTCTCAAGTCATGAGGTTTGTTTACATAGATAATTTTACAGATAGTATTTCATTAGTCTGTGTAGGGTATAGATTTCATGTAGACTTAAGATAATAAATATACCCGTTATTTTTTCTACATCGTTGTGACGTTTTGGCGATCTCGCAATCGCTAATTTGTTGGCTCTGCGCTGCCGTAGCGCAAGGATGTCTGCCTCCATGGCTGCGAGACCCGCTCTTATGTAATTATAAATAACGAATTCTAAGGCAACGCAAATATTAAGGTTAAGATGCTGAGCTCGTAGATGATGATAAATAACATAGTTAACATTATGTATAATATATAACATTTCTGACTGTATATCCCTGTAATTATTACACACTGTAGCTTTAAGTTCTGGATAGAGAATATTGACAGACACATTTTTTTTTCTTATCTGAAATGCAAAATTTTTATATATCCTCCGAGTAAATTTAAAAGAGAAATAACAATAAAAAATCATTATTTCCTAATTTCGTTGCAAAGTTACACCAGATAATTGAAATGCAAAGCATTTATAAGGTAAAGGAAATTTCAAACAACGGTTTACACTTTTGAATCATCAACAGCAGACTGTGAAATAAAAGTTTTTTTTTGTTGTTTTTTTAGAGTCACAGCAAAGACAACTTTTGGATTAACTGTTCCCATATTGCCAGATCTTTGTCCACCTTAGCAGAATCCCTAAACTTCTAGAGCCTCACACTGCCATAGACACTCACAGACACACTCAGGTATTCTTTCTTACCTGATGCTGCTCATGCTGCCCGCGTCTGATCCCAGCTTACATCTCTCCAGCTGCGTGGCGACAATCTGACGCTCAGCTTCAAGTTCTCTGGTTAGACGTTCAAACTGAAGCTCCTGATGAAAAAGAAAAACAAACCCTTACATGAAATTTAGCAAACAAAGTAATTTTAGGGATATCATCAAGTACATTTCACATCACATTTAGGCTGAAGTGAAGAAAGAGCTAATAGCCTGAAAAACAATTATTTTACAAAGGCTTCCTTATGTGAAAAGGGTTTGCTGTTTGTTGAAGATAATGTTCTCAAAAGTACAATATGAGCCATTTTTTCACTTAAATGTTCAACTGTTCCATGAACAAAAATATCATCTGGTCATTGAGGTCTTAAAAATATAAAACAATAAAAAAAACACTCTTTCTGCAACTTAAAAGGTCATAAAGTTAAAACAAAATATTCTGCTTATTAAATGTGCTTAATTAATCTAACCTCAAAAAACCTAAGCTCCCTTATAAAATTATATTTTAAAGTATTAGGTGTGTTTTTTTAATAATTTAATTTAAAAAGAAAAACATCCCCAAGTTTCAGTTTTTGTTGACCATGAATGTAGGAGATGTTACAAGAGTCTGCAATCTTTGAGGTGAAGTTACAAAAAGTTTGCCGTGAATACTGAGGTTCACACTAATATGCAATATGCAAATATCAAATCACACCAAATATATACAAAGCAGGTGACTGAATGATTAGAATAATCATTTTATAATCCAAATGTCATGGGTTTGATTAGCTCCCCCTTGCCATTGGTTGGTGTGCCCCTAGGCAAGGCACTTAGCACCAAGTTGCCTACCAGTATAAAGAGCAGTGCTAATTTGTCTGAGAGGCAGGTTTGATTAGAGAAGTGCCGTATAAATTTAGTCCATTTACCATATTCTAAATTTCTAACTAAGTTTTTTTCGTAAGTCATTGTTTGCATGTATTTGGTTTGGCGAAGTTGCATCTGATCACATCTTATTTGTTAATATATTCTTCTCTGTTATATAAAAAACAGATAAAATCATAAGAATATTGAATTTAAACATCCTGCCAATAATTTAAAAACCAAACTATGTGATGAAATTAGTGTCCTGCTAAAGATAACACAACAAGTTAATAAATCATTCATATAGCTAGTTTCTGTTGAATAGGACACTACAAGCATCCGTATATCCTGGGGTGTTCTGCAAACAAGATTAGACACTGTGTAACATGTGATGGGCCTTTTTTCTGACCTACATAATTTCAGAAACTGACAAACAGCAAAATATATTGTTTCTGTGCTGTGATGCATAAAACCCTACAACCTGGATTAATTCAAGGGAAGTCAAAGGGCAGTTATTGTGCCATAGGAGTTAGAATAATGCATGGTGTTACTATTCTAGCAGGGACGTTCTAGAGGGTGGATTGTAATAGGAAGCATTTGCTGACCAAGGGATTTATTTATTGAATTGACTTTCTAAAAGGTCACTTTTTACCCATAACCCTCTGTAAATGCATAAGCGCATATGTAAAATGAAGCATATACTTGTGAACTTAAGAACCGTGTGAAGGTGGATAAAATGCAGGAAGCTGCACCACACAAAAGATGTTTTAGATAGTAATGGTACATGTGTAAAAAAAAAATGTAATGCAAAGGGATCGAGAGAGAGTAAGAGACAGTAGATTGCTTTTTGTTGTATTTTAGTCATTTGAACCTCTGATTAAAGGGATCCTGCTTCACTATCTTGATATTTCAAACTAGACACATGCCCCCCAACACAACACAGCCCCATGCCTACCATTTCCTTCTCTGTTTTTCCCTTGAACCTTTTGTACATGTACTTTCATCAGCAGTTTACTCATAAATATGCACACTCCTATTTTCTGTTTTCAAATCAAATTCACAATTGCTTGTGCCCAATTAAAACCCCTACAAGAACAATAAGCATTGTGCACTAGTGTTATGCAGTGGTGTTTTAAGCTCATTGGTTCACTGCTTATGAGATGTAAGATAACACAGACACTAATTAAAAACAATATCTCACCCCATGAGATGACTGGTGTTACACGGTTTATTACAAGTCCTTCTGTCTTTCTCCTTGCTTTCCTTTGTTTATTATTTAGGAAATGTTGCATCAGTTTCACAGCTTTAAATACAGCAAGATAAATCTCAAACATGTGAATGAAGAAGCAGTTCCAAACCTTACTTCATTTTTTTTTTTAGTAAGTACGCAGAGAGATTGAATGGGCTCTATTACACCCTTGGGACCTTCATGTCTGAATTACAGCTTTGTTTTAAAGAGAGCTTCCTTCCTTCAAAGCTCTGGTGTGCTTCTCAAAGCATGCTGCTTTGTCACCTGGTTTGCGACAGTCACAAATTATTTAAATCCTCAAAGTGTAAAAATGCAAATCCCTGAACCCAGAGTGCCATTATGCTAATTGATTATTTATTATGCCTCAGTGATAAAAATTATTAACTAGCTTTTAAAGCAACAAAGAAATGTCTGGAATAGATCTGTAACATAGTGGGCAAGTTCTGCATTGGGGAGAGCTGTCCAGGTTTACATAACCTTTCATCAAGAGCTTTATTAATTTTAAAGACTTAAAACAAGAAAATGTCCCACTAGTCATTTATCATAGCAAATGAAGATAAATGGCTAGTGAATAATACTTATTTTGTGAACCTGGCAATAAATAATCCCAGTATTTCTGCTAGAAGTGTTGCATTTTATCAGAATCATAAATACTTTAATAATCCCAGAGGGAAATTACTTACTAATTACTTATGTTTATATGGCACTAAGAACATATAAGCCATGTCTAAGTCTTTGCATTTAAATTAAGATAAATTGGAAAAATCTGATGCAACATTTGAGACAGTCAGGATAGCAAAACTGTAATACATTGCTCTATGACTGCGATCAGAATGACACAACTCCCCTAAATCCAAGGTTGGGTACCTGACTAGACTCCCTTGTCAGACATTTTGACATATACTTTTCCAGAGAGGCCTGAGAGTGTCATCCAAAGTTGAATAAATAACTTACGAGTTCCTTGAGGAGCTCAGAGTAAATCTCATCCTCTTCAGGTCACTGCCACTGTGAATGTGTTAAAATACCTCCAAACCCTCATCCCCAATGATAGGCAGTCTCCTTTAGACTTCGGTTTCTTTTCAATAGGGAAGGTTTATGTATCAGATTGAGATTCATTCCTCTATCCAACTACACTGCCCTAAATAATTATAGGAATCACTGTTAAAGACTTAGTTAATAACCTTGAAATAATTTACTATTTTGTTATTGGAGGATAATCTCTAATCTTACAATAACATAATAATCTTGACATACTAAACGTTTTTACAAGGGTACAAAACCGTTTGGGCCCTCTGTACAAATGTGTACATAAAAAGAGTAAAAAGAGCTAGTGTTTAATAAAATAAATATTGAAAACAAGTGAGAACAGTCTGATCATGAATCGTTATGAGTTATCACAGTATGGCCAAAGGATAAAACGATTGCTCTTGTGCTATGCATCAGACTTATTCTCTTAGGCAAATAACTTACCCTAGAAAATAAAAAGAACTCATGGATAACCAGTCACATTCAGAAAATCAAACATCCAGGTAGTCAGATGGTATTAAAAGCATCAATCACTTAGCGCTGTTTTCTAAGGGAATACAGCCGCTGACATTGTTATCAGGTTGTAACGTGTTGTTAAAATTTATCAAAATTAACATTATAAAACTACTCCCTTGTTTACTTAATTCAGGACGTTTGCACCAAGACAGTTAATGCAAGGATAGACCTTCTGAGAGATCACCTATGGGGATAGTCCTGAGCTCTAAGGGGAGAGAAGCAGAGTACAAAGAACGCTGAGCCCCAAAAACACAGCATGGTTGGACAGATCAGAAACAATTTGGGTGAGCGTAAAACACATTTCCAGTGACATCCAATATCCTCTCAGGACTCAACCTTAAACCTAAAGGCTTGTTCAGTTGTAAAACATTTACATTTCAGGTGTAGGTTCATTTTTTGTGACATGGACAGCACACTATTTGCAGCATTTTATTCTCTATGGGGTTTTCTCCCTCTGTACCCAATATTCTGGCCACCTCTACTGGGGATTGTGAGGCAGCTCCCAGATTTAAAAGAAGGAAGACTAAACTTTACACAGGACCATACTGCACAGCTGTATTTTTACATCCCTAAACTTTTTGCAGTTTTATTATATTTTTTTTTCTCCACACAAAAAGTAAAAAAATAAGCTGCAATTGTAATTATACAAAACAAAAGATGCAATATTTAGGTTTTAAGACATGTTTAACCAGGAGTACCAATATATTCAATTGCTGCAGAACCGCAGCTAAAGTCCACAGCACTCTATCCCCATACAAACAAATTAAGTATTCTTTCTTTCGCTCTACCTGTTCCATGTGATAGGAGGAGCGACTATAAACATTAAATGTTAATAGACATGTAATGACAGGCTACGAAGACTGACCATGCAGGACACATACCTGCATTTTTGCTTGTATCAATGCTAAACTAAATATTTCCCTGGCATTCCAGCATTGCTTTAGTTTACTCTGGGAACGACACAAGGCGGTCGGACCAGATTCAACCCTGGTCACAGATCTGGATTCCCTGGCATGGTTGGCTTCAGTGATGTTTGCAGGTTTTAAATCAACTTTGGTTGATAAACCTAAATTACATTTGTTTCCAAAATGCGATTCACGTGTCTTATTAAATGGCATTTCAAAATAAAGACTGAGCTCATTAAAGAATAGGAAGTAACTTGCCACAGCCTTTTCGAGGCTTTAGGTGGGCATGGGTGGGTGGATATTTTACCTAAGATATACAATCCTGATATTGTTGTTATTAATATTCCAATTTCTTTTTTAAAGCTTAACAAATAGATAAAAAAAATGACAGAAAATGAAGGTATTAAGTTGTTAGTCTGGAAGACACAGATGTATGGATAACTAAGACAAAACCTGTGAGGTTAGACACCAGCAAAATTTAAGGAATTTCTCTTGTTGCTCATCAGTTATTACATGGATATTATAAGCATAATAAAGCAATTTGGAGTGAATTATTTCTGATG